AATCCCTGTATATTATTCTTTATTTCAGTCAGTCATGTGTAATTTCTGACTGGTCCTTTTCCATATTTTTGGAGGTTTCTAGAAGATTCTTGAGTAACCTTATAACTGTGGTTTTGAACTCTATATCCTTTCTTCCGCTGCACACAGATTGGGTGGGGTTGTAAATTGGATGAGGCAGGGTCTTAGGGGATCACCAGGGTGGAGCAAACAGAAATAGCTGCTAGTCAGCCCTGCCTGGGAGGTCTCAGCATAGGAACAATGATCCCTGCTAGCACCTATATCTGGGAGAAAGCTACCCCTGAGTTCCTGCCCCGATACCAGACAATCCAGTTCCTTGTCATATGTGTCTGTGTCCCCCAGAGCCTCGCCCTGGTGTTGGAGCTCAGAGGAAGCGGGTCCTTGTAAGTTCATTTGGTGGTGCCAGCCTTTTAAGAGGAACAGCTGGGTCTCCAGCAGCCTGTGTGTCACTTAGCCCCAATCAACACTGGTTTTATAGCCTGTAGGGACTTCTTTTCCCAGCTCTGGTACCCTGGCCTGGGGGTCTGGTGTGGGGCAGGGACTCCTTGCTCCTCCCGGCGGCCTTTGCAGAGACGCTCTCCCTCCCGATTAAAAATGTGGCCCACGTGGGTGTCAGACCAGCCCGATCCACACCTTCGCATCTCCTACCAGTCTCAGTGTGCTTTCTTCTTCACTTCTCTAATTGTAGGACTTCCACTCAGCCAGCTTTCCAGCGGTTCTGGATGATGGTTGTTCTGTATTTCAGTTGTAATTTTGATGTGGTTGTGGGAGGCAGCGAGGACAGGCGTTTACCATTTCCGCCATCTTCTATGCCAGCGGTTCTCAACCTGTGGGTCGCGACCCCTTTGGCGGGCGAACGACCCTTTCACAGGGGTCACCTAAGACCATGCCGCATATCAGATATTTACATTATGATTCATAACAGTAACAACATGACAGCTATGAAGTAGCAACGAAAATAATTTTCTGGTTGGGTCACAACATGAGGAACTGTATTGAAAGGGCCAGAAGGTTGAGAACCACTGTTCTATGCCTTCCCTTTTGTGTGTTTTTTTTTTCTGTTTGTTTTTTCTTTTGTGCCTTTCTTTTAAAAAAATATTTTTTATTGGTTTTTAGAGAGAGAGAGGGAGGGAGAGAGAAAGATATCGATTGGCTGCCTCCTGCACAGCCCCTGGGACCGAACCCACAACCTGGGTATCTGCCCTGAATGGGAATCAAACCAGCAACCCTTCCATGCACAGGACGATGCCCAACCAACAGATCCAGCCCTACCTTTAGGGCTGAAAGGAGTTGCTTCTCTGGGTGGGTTTGGGGTTTATTTTGTCACATTTTTCAAATATCGTTCTCACATTTTTCTTGCTTTCTGATATTTTTTGTGGTCAGCCCTGAGGAAAGGAATTTTTCTTTTGTGGCTGAGACTTTATTGCTGTGTTGAGGCTCGGTGCCCAGGCGTTGGAATTGTGCACAGTGCTTACCATGGGGCGGGCTGACAACCTAAGAAGCCACGTGGCCGGGATTGTTCTCTGAGGAGTTATTCTCGCACTTCCCGGGGGACAAGTGGAGGGAAGCGTGTTGCGCAGCGCAGGGTGGGACGTGCCCATGGCTCCCGAGGTTGCTGAGCTGTTAGCCCGGACCCCGCTCCCTCACAGGTTAATATCATGAGACGACATGCCCCAATTTCTTTTTCACGGCTAACGTGCCTTGAAATTAATATGTGACATTATTACGGAAATTGGACTGTTGTGCCCAGGGACAGAGAAAGGCAAGATCAAGAAGGGCTTTTCGTTAGGAAGAGTACTGAAAAGCAACAGAGATAGAGGTAATTTTATTTGTAATTTTTATTTCTTTAAACATTTTTTATTGCCTGGCCAGCATGGCTCAGCAGTGGTTGAGTGCCAACCTTTGAACCAAGAGGTCATAGTTCTGTTCCTGAGAGTGGAAGAGGGAGGGAGGGAGGGAGGGAGAGAGAGACAGACAGACAGACTTTGATGGTGTTTCCCGCCCGCAACCCAATTGGGGCCGGGGATCAAACCTACAACCCAGGCACATGCCCTTGACCAGGAATCAAGCCCACGACCCTTCGGTGCAACGGCCAACACTCTGACCACTGAGCCACACTGGCCAGGGCAATTTATTTTGTAAAATTTATATTTATTGTTGAGAGTATTACAGATGACCCCCATTTCCCCCCGCTGCCCCCCCACTTGGTTCCCACCCCAAGAGCCTGTGTTTTAACCAGTACCCGGGAGATTCATCTATGCCTTACAGTCTGAGATGTGCCGGTCCCCCAGCCTGCACGTGCCTCCCGGGGAGGAGCTGCCTCTCAAGATACCGCCCCCTCACAGCCCCTGTACTCCTGGCTGGCCCCTCCCCTGCCAGACCTCTAAATGCTGGGGGTTGGGGTGCGCTCTTTGGCGGTCACCTGCCTGTGCGTCTGTCTTCTCTGTAGGTGGCCTCCTTCAGTCCCCCCCCCGCCCCAGGGTTTCAGTCCCTCTGCCGGGGTCACTCCATGTGGGGTCATCTTTCCCCAGGCACCCTCTTTTTTAAAAACATTTTAATGATTTCAGAGAGGAAGGGAGAGAGAGAGGAGAGAGAGAGAAACATCAGTGATGGGAGAGAATTGGATGCCTCCTGCAGGCCCCCTGGTGGGGATGGAGCCCACAACCTGGGCATGTGCCCTTGACCGCATTCGAACCCGGGACCCTTCAGTCCGCAGCCCGATGCTCTATCCACTGAGCCAAACCAGCTGGGGCTCCCTGTGCACCCTCTTCCCACAGCCAGCTGCCCACCGGGCCCTTCCCCTGAGCAGCCCCTGGCCTCTCACACAGGCATGTCAGACCTTGAACCTCCACCACGTGGAGCCGGCACCTCCGCTATTACCTGTGGCTGAGGTGTAATCTGGGGCGGGTGGAAACTTGTTTACCGTCCGTCTGTCATTACGTCGGGATAAAATCGTCTAGACGTTCGAAACCAGTTGTTCCCGGAATGGATTGCTTCATAGGTTTGCCATGAGTGGTCTTTAGTTTTGTTTACGGTGTTGACGTGCAATGAATTATTGCTTTATTAACCCAAGAGTTCAGCTGTCCTCGGATCAAGGTGGAGGTTTGGGGATTTCCGAAGTGAGGCGTCGTCAGTGGCTTCGTTCCCACTCGAGACCTCCCCACGGGGGCGCCGCCTGCTCAGCTGCCTGCGCAGACTTGAAGAAATTCTCGGGTTCACTGAGGTGTACAGTGGGGGGCAGCGAGCTTTCAAATTGTACACTTGTCTACGTGTGACCGTTAATTTGTTCACGTGCTTTCTTAAGTAGTTTGTGAAGAGAATGGCTTTTTGGTACGAAATAGGGGTTGGCCAACTTTTTTTGTAATGAGCCAAGCAGTAAATATTTCTGGCTTTGTGGCCAGGCTTGTTAGTTCTGCCCCGTGGCAGCATGTAAACCAACGGTGCGGTCGTGTTCCCATACAATTTCACTTACATCCCTCCTCCCCCCTGGCTGGATTGGGTTCATGGGCCACAAGGTGACAGGTCCAGAATGCAGGCTGGGCTCATTGACACTGAATTGGGTCATTACTATGAAGGGAAAACTGGGTTAAGGATTTAAAGATCAAGATTTCTCAGGGCGACGGCCGGTGTGATTCAGTGGTTGAGCGACGACCAGTGAACCAGCAGGTCACGGTTCAATTCCCGGTCAGGGCACATGCCCAGGTTGTGGGCCGGATCCCCAGTGTGGAGTGGGCAGGAGGCAGCCGATCCATGATTCTCTCTCATCATGGATGTTTCTCTCTCCCTCTCCCTTCCTCTCTGAAACCAATAAAATATATGTGTTGGGCACTGAGTCGTGACTATGTTAAAATACACAGTCTGGTATAATCATCTAATTTGGGCTATCATCAAAGAAACCAGGCACTGTGAGGCCGCAAGGATGGGGAGCAGTTGGGACCTGCGTGTGCTGATGTGCCGTGGAAAATGCTGCAGCTGCTTTAGACAGCAGTCTGGCAGGCCTTGCCTGGGTAGCTCAGGTGGACCCGATACACCAAGGTCGCGGGTTCGAACCCCAGTCAGGGCACATATAAGAATCAACTGATATGAATGTGTTAACAAGTGGAACAAGTTGATGTTCCTCTCTCTCTCTCAAATCAATCAATACAATAGATAGATAGATAGATAGATAGATAAATAAATAAAAGAAAGTAGCCTGGCAGTCCCTCAAATGCTCACCGTAATTTCCATAGAGCCCAGCACTTCCACTCCTAGCTGTGTACTGAAGGGAAGGGAAGACACATATACAGAAGCTTGGACACGGTGTTCCTAGCAGCATACGGCCCACATAAAAAACAGCTCGCCTGGTCGGTGTGGCCCAGCTGGTTGACCATTGTCCCATGTACCAGGAGGTCATGGTCTTCAATTCTCGGTCAAGGGCACGTACCTGGGTTGCAGGTTCAATCCCTGGCCCAGGTTGGGGCACCTGCAGGAGGCAGCAATTGATGTGAGAATCAATGTTTCTTTCTCTCTCCCTCTCCTTCTCCCTCCTCCCTCCCTCCCTCCCACTTTCTCTAAAAATTAATGGAAAATTACCCTCAGGTGAGGATTAACAACAACAGAAAAGATGAGTCACTGTTCTTGGTTGTGTGTGTTCCTGAGCGTTCCGCGCCCGCATCCAGCAGAGGCGGCCCGCATGGAAGCTGGGCGGCCTCAGGGCCCAGATGGCCCCTTTGCCCCCTCGGTAGTGTGGAGGCCGTCCTCGGGCCTGCGGGCGGGTGGCCCAGGTCACGGCTGTGCTCCTGGCCGCATTCTGGGCACTGGTTTGCTCATGCGGGAGGCTCACTGCACGGCTTCTTCGTTGCAGGTTGAAGAAGGAAGCAAAGCTGCCGCGGTGGACAAGTTACTGGCGGGAGACGAGATCGTGGGCATCAATGACATCGGCCTCTCGGGGTTCAGACAGGAAGCGATTTGCCTGGTGAAGGGGTCCCATAAGACCCTGAAGCTGGTGGTAAAAAGGTAAGACCCGGGCCTCATGTTGTGTTAACCAAGATACACGGAATGGAGTAGAACAGCAAGATGTGACGCCTGACTTAAATTGTGTAAGTGTGCGCGTGCGCGCGGGTGTGTGTGTGTGTGTGTGTGTGCGTGGGCGCACGTGTGCATATAGGATTGTTATCTCCTGGCCAAGGATGAATTAAGCATCAAAAATGTTGAAAGATCCCTTTTATGACTACTGACGGTTTATTTTGATTTATTAAGTGAATTTGAATAGTTGTGTCTCTTTGGCAATGTGTAGATTATTTTTCTGGCAGCGAAAAAAACTGTTTTTGTTCCAAATGAGCAGTGTGGTTGCCTGCTGCGTACACAAGGCGGCAGGCTGCTGGGCTTTCCGCTGAAGATAGTGTGACTGCAGGTAGACTTAGCGGAGCGATGGTGATGATGGTAATGGAAACTTGACCTTTCTGAGGTAAGACTGGTTAGAAACCATCTCTGGGCTCATTGCCCAGCTCCGGTGTGACTGGGCGCCCCTCAGCTTCTCTCTCCCATATTGTCACTGTGGTGGGGCTGCCAGAGCCCCCTACACACTGAGCCAGCTCGTTGGCTTACTGCAGGGACCTGCCAGCTTGGTGCGGGCGAATTCTGGGCTGCTTCCTATAGCGTTCGGTGCACAAGGGCTCAAGCAGGACTTGGGCTGATGGAGGGAAATTGCTTTGAACTGCACCTGGGTGTGTGTCGCTGGGGGGTCTGATGGGGACACTGCCTCCAGGGTGCTCATTCCTAAGACCTGTCAGTGTGACCCTGGCCAGCCCACAGGCAGCGGCAGATGAAATGGACACTCATTGTGGGACAAAATCAGGAGGCAAGAATATTGTCGCCAAGGCATCTAACAAGGTAAAACAAAATGTCGGTCAATGTCAGGTCGTATTCCAGGGTTCAAAAAACAGATGTATAATAGCAAAGTCGGTTTAGAAGAAGCAGAGGCAAAGAATGGAATTCGTGCTCCCCAGTGGAAAGTTGGGTGAAAGCACAAATTGGGGGTTCCTCAAGTGAGAAGCGTACGTAGGAAGCAGGCGTGTCAAAAGATGGTTAGGAATCCAAGTTTACTTAAAAGCCGGACACTAGGTTTTGTCTCTCGGGTTAGCTAATAGAATAGCAGGGCCCCCTGGTGGTGAGATGTGGGCAAACAAGGACTTGTTTGATAGGATGCTGATTAGATTACAAATTAGACAACTGTCTTGGTGAGCAGCTTGGCAACACGTTTCAAAAAGCGTATCTTGGAACCAGAATTTCATTTCTGGGGTCCTAGACATTCAGCAAAGGGAGATTACCCCTGCTGGGTGCCCCGGAAATCCAGATGAGTGGAACACATGCATGTATTTATAGGTACTTCCCATTTTTAAAAAAAGTTTTAAATTTCTAATTGTGGTAAAATAGACATGAATTTACCATCTTAACAATTTTTAAATCTGTTCAGCAGCATATTACTTCTATTTTTTAAAAATATTTTAAATTGAGTTTGAGAGAGAGAAGAAGAGGGAGAGAAAAACATGGATCGGCTGCCTCCTGCATGCCCCCTACTGGGGATCGAACCCAGAATGGAATCCACAACCTTTCAGTGCATGGGACAATGCCTGACCAAGTGAGCCACACCGGCCAGGGCATATTACTTTTATAACAGCAAAAAATATCGAGATCCTGCATTTCAACAATTGTTTTATTTTTTTAAAATGTTTTATTGATTTTAGAGGATGATGGTGGGGAGAGAGAGAGAGACAGAAATATCGATGTGAGCGAGATGGAACCAGCAACCTGGGTATGTACGGGTTGATGCTCCAACCAACTGAGCCATACCTGCCAGGGCGCAGCCCCTGCATTTTTAAAGAGGAGAGGCTTCCCCGGCCAGCGTTGGCTCAGTGGTTGAGTATCCACTTAGGAACCAGGAGGTCACGGTTCAATTCCTGGTCAGCGCACATGCCCAGGTTAGGGACTTGATCCCCAATAGGGGGCGTGCAGGAAGCAGCCGATCAATGATTCTCTCTCATCATTGATATTTCTCTCTCTCTCCCTCTTCCTTCTTCTCTGAAATCAATAAAAATATATTTAAAAAAGAATGTTAAAAAGAAAGAAAGCGGAGAGGCCTTTGGGGTTAGGTGTGCCTGCGCTTCCCAGAGTCAGCAGGAGCTGTCCCAGCAGCTGCCCATGTGGCATCTTTCTGCTTGGGGCAGTCCCCAGCCGGGTTTGTTTATTGCAAACAAACAAGAAGAATGACTCTTGCGGGGTGGATTGATCTCCCGACTACAATGGGCTCTTAGAGTAGCTCTTTACTCCTTGTAGTTTGTTTGGTTCTCTGTGAATGTGACAGGTGACAAATGGCTTTATTGTTTAAGTGGGCATTTCTGCCGCTGTGAGTGAGGTCGGCCGAGTTCCAGAGCTTAGCAGCTTGTTTTTGAACTAGAGGAATGTATTAAGGATATAAAAACAGACCATCTCGCCTGGCCAGCGTGGCTGTTGGTTGAGCGTTGTCGTGCTCACCAAAAGGTGGCTGGTTCGATTCCTGGTCAAGGGCACGTACTCCCTCCCTTCCACTCTCTGAAAAGCAACGGGAGAAAATACCCTCTTGTGAGGATTAACAAAAAAGAACAAGCGGCTACTTTATAAAAAGGCGCTGTGTCAATCATCCACAAACACGGCAACATAGATTCCCTTCCCCAAGAGTATGGCCAGATAATAAATGAGCCGACTCAAGCCTTGTTTATTAATCTGATGTAGCTACCTGCCCACCTGAGGAGCCCCGAGAAGGCGGCCTTTCTGATACAGACGGAAATCAGGTTAGGGTGCTGAGCGCTGAGCATGGCCAGGCCGGGAGTGTTCTGGGGAATGGGGTGTGTGCACCTCCATATAAAACATACCCCTGGTGCCCGGCCCGCGGGGCTCAGTGGTTGGGCGTCCGCCTATGAACCAGGAGGTTATGGTTCAATTCCCATCAAGAACACATGCCTGGGTTGTGGGCTCGATCCCCAGTAGGGGGCGTGCAGGAGGCAGCTGATCCATGATGCTCTCATCATTGATATTTCTCTCTCCCTTCCTCTCTGAAATCAAGAAAAAATATATTAAGAAAATAAATAGAAAATAAAACATGCCCCCGGTTGGGTAAGTAGAACGGGAATGGTGGTCCGTGCACGGACCCCTCCCACGGGGACAGCTGCTGTGTGCCCGACCTGCAGGTCGTTTGGTTTCAGGGGCGTGGGGAGCGGGCACCGCCCCGGGATAGGGTTGCGGAGGCCGGTGTTGCAAAGCCGCGGCGTCCTGTTTCACGGGCCTGGGCAGCCTATCTTGTCATCATGTAGAAGCCGGGCTGGGGACGAAGCGAGGAGACACAGGATCGCTATCTGCCCCGCCAAGTGTCTTTCCCAGACGGGTGAGAACGGCACTTCCTCTCCCGAGCGGTGTCGCTGGGAACAAAGAACTGTAACCGGAGTCCCCGCCAAGCGCACATATGTTCTCCTTCGGGATGCCCAGGCGGTGCCCGGGCCAGTGGGGCGTGGCGGGGCTTCTGCCCAGCTGTCAATCAACCACCAGGCCCGCGGGAGAGGCTGAGCAGCAAGCTTGCGCCTTGCCCTTCCTCCCAGGCACGTGCTGTTCCCTCTGCTCCTCCTCGCAGGAACGTTCAGGGCGGATGTGGTAACCTTTTCCTTGTGTTTCTCTCGGGTTGTCACCTGCACTTGCACTGTTCTCCTGGGTGTCCAGGCCACACCCCGGAGATCCTGGTTGACACTTCTGGAATGGCCCCAGGCCATTTTGCTGGTGGTGCCGCTGCTGGCTTAAGCAAATGTGCTTGGAAAGGGGTAGGACCAGAAACGGGGTCACCTGCGAGATGTCCTGATGAGCGTGGCCAGGAGATAAGCCCCTCGCTGCGGCTAGGGCTGTCACTGTGCCCTGCGTGGACAGCGCTGGGGCAGTCTCCATTTTTCTCACTTCAGAGGCAAATTACCATAAATTCAGCTCCCAAAAAGTACATATGCTTTTATTTTTCATTTTATTTTATTTTATTTTTAATCCTCACCTGAGGATATTTTTCCATTACTTTTTAGAGAGAGTGGAAGAGAGAGGGAGAGACAGAAATATCGATGTAAAGAGAAACACGTCGATTGGTTGCCTCCTGCACACCCTGACCAGGACCCAGGCTGGGGAGGAGCCTGCAACCCAGGTACATGCCCTTGACTGGAATCGAACCCAGGACCCTTTGGTCCACAGGCCGATGTTCTAAACACTGAGCCAAACTGGCTAGGGCTCAAAAAGTACATACAATTTTAAACACCTTGGAAAATTTTCTTTTAAATATGCCATAAATCATTTTCTAAAGCTTGTCATTACTGTCCTAGTCCTTCCGGTTGATATGGTGACATTCATTTTGTTTACAAGGAAGGCTGCCTGCCACCTCATCATGAATCTTACTCTTGTTCCGGCCGGTGTGGCCAGCCCTTTGGCCAAATTACCCATAGGGTTGACTCATGTCACTTCTTGCCTCTGCTGGCAGCCTTAAACCGCTTTGTGACTCTGGTTGCGCCCACTAAGCCCGCATTCGGCAGGGGATTAGCACCCCGGGAGGAGGATCTTAGCCGCAGCTGTGGGGTCAGCCAGGCTGGCTGGCAGGTGATGCATTTGAAGAAAGGAGGCTTCCCATCCAGGGACAGCCCCTGGCCTTGCTGGGAGCATGTTTCTTACAACACGCCTTGGTCTCGGTGTCGCTGCCTGGCAGTGAATTCCACACGAGGCAGCATTGTGCCTGCCCCCTGCCCCGGCTCCCTGGCCCTGTCTGAGCAGGTCACTCTGCGTGGGGCCCACCGTGGGTGTTCCGGAAGCAGCTCCGTGCACCGCTCCGGCTGGAGGACCGGGATCGCTAGGATGTCCACAGGTTGTGTCCCCTCCCCACCGTCCCCTTTCGAGGGCTCTTCCTGGGGCAGAACAGTGGTTCGTTTATATTTTTCCAAATATATTTGTATTGATTTCAGAGA